GGATTATCTCTGAAACAGTATGGAGCTCAAAGGCTTTCTCTCTTGCCGGTTATACCACAAGGTGAGTTCCTTTTTACTTCCTGCTTCTTCACACACATGCTCTCCAGTACAGGTTAGCTCTGAGTGTTAGCGATGCTAATGTAAACACCGACCATATTACGTCCAAAACAGTCGGGCATTGTTTCTGATAGCAACGTTTCTGATAGGGCCGTGGGTCCACATTTCAGATATTACGTCATATCGGACGCAAATCTGGATCAGCTCCGTTGTTGCCCCGTTTTTAGAGATTTGGGTACGGAGGAAAAGAGAGAGGGTTTTATTTTCTGACGCTGCATGAGTTCCCTAACACACCGGGGAAACATCTTTACGTATAAAATATATCAAAAAGTGCATTTTGCATGATAGGTCCCCTTTAAGTAAATGATGGGGTCCTGGTAAAGATAAAAAACCTCTGAAATGTCTTATCAAATGTTTTTTTGGATAGTATGCCATATATTCTGCCAAAGCATCCCTGTAAGCCACAGTGAACCTTTCACCTGGTTATACATGGCTGTGGAATAATGCTTTAAACACAATACAGACGATTCAGGGTTCCCAAGATCAGGCTGAACCGCTACAAGCACTCATTCCTGCCTCTGTCCATTAAGCTTCTTAACATTCACATGTCATGTAATATACTTTTTAAATGTTGGCCATGATATGAGGGTTGTGCAATGGGTCGCCATTGTCAGTAGGTGTGTCTGTGTATTGTGTTTGTTCAAACGGTGTATGACTGATGATATGTGTATGTATTTGAATGTTTATTATGTTTGTATATGTACATGTATGCGGAACTGCAGGGCGGAGTCCAGAACACATTTCCTTACCGGCACAATAAAGCATAACATATCGTAATACGAGTGTGCTGTTGTGCAACCGTTGCCGTACCTGGGGAAACCTTGTTGATGGGCACTAATGCTCCGTAGAGCGGAGAGGGAATGTTGCAGAGCTTCTCTCCTTTATAAAGACCGTCGAACTGTCCCACAGGAGCGTCCTGTAACACGGAGACAACCACAACATACTCAGTTATAGATAATATGGGGCTCTAATAAGGAATCAGATAATAAGGGTTCATTAGCAAGTATACATATAGTATTTACATAGTAGCTGCAGCATCAGAGAAAAAAGTTTAATGTAATTATATCAAAAAGAAAATTAAGAAAATGTTTACCCTTAAGGTTTTCTTTTAGTTTGAAAGTCAAGTTTTTTAGTTTACTGCTTCGTTTTTAATCCTGGATTTTTTAATAATAATTATTTTGAGAATCTTTTCCTTTTATTGGAGTCGTCAGAAGGAAAAGATGGCATTCAATTCGGGAGATGAAATGTAAACTTCAGCTGTTTTGTTTTGTTTTTTGTGTGTTTTTAAAAGTAGCTGCCAATAAGCAAGAATACAACTAAAGATAACTCAAATCATACATTTAAAAAACACATGTTGTATCTCCTGTGTCGTACTGACCAGCAGAATTCCCACGTACATCCCTGAGGAGGAGCGACCGGGCAGCAGACCACAGAAGCGAACCTCCCCCCCGTAGACGTTGTCCTCTATGGGGAACAGCACCCTCTGGCCCACATGGAGCGGAGGAGGGGATGCAGGGGCTCGGACCTGCACCAGTAAGATAGATAGATGGATGGATGGATGGATGGATGGATGGATGGATGGATGGATGGATAGGTAGGTAGATAGATTTTTTGCGTTGCAGCAGCATAAAAAACACAAGGCAATGTACATAAGAGAAATTAAGACACAGAAATAAACAGTCCAATATATTTCGGAAATATAAAATAGCATTAAAAAGTTAAAAAGTTGTAATAATAACCTGGTTCTGGTTCTGAGCCGTGATTGGTGCTGACTCTGCTGTCCGAGGGATGAAACCCACGGGGGGGCTGCTGGGGCGAGGGTGATGGAAACTGATGTGACGACCTTGATGCTGAGGATGCTGCCGCTCGTTGCCGTGTTGCCCGTTGCCGTGTTGCCCGTTGCCGTGGCTGCTGCGGTGGCGGTCTCGCTCCTTGGCTCGCTCCTGAGCGTCCTGCACGTTGTTGCGGGTCCAGGTTCGGACGTGCACGTGGCTGACGGGCAGGAAGAGGGCGCAGGCTTCAGGGCAGCTGAAGAGACGCTGGCTCTTGAAGCAGCCGTTGCCCGACCCTTTACCGGCGGCTGAGCCCTGCAGAAGAGACGCGCATTTAAGAAAGAGGAATAGTTTCGGCGAAAACTAAAAAGGTACCATGGGGTCAGATTTGAATTTTCCAAAGGGGGGTTCGTTTAGCATGAAACACTTGAAATAACTAAAGGAGACAAACAGGGGAGAGGCTGAAGGAGCTGCTGACAGGTGAACTGACCAATCACAGGCTCTCACCAACATTTAAATAGACTGCATGTTCTATGTAGAGGCAATTGTTTTTATTTGATTGGTATTAAATCCAGTGTTGATATATTAGTTATCATATTATGTCTTATTAATAATGTTGTACAATGTGTAAATTCTTACTCTAACTTCTTATGTTTATGTAAATATTTGTATTTAATTGGTTATTTTTATTGCAACTTCTAAAAAATGTCATAAATAGAAAGGTTTTTTATAGTGTTCTTGTGTTATTATTTGATAAAAAGCCCAAATTGGTACAAGGGATTCACATAAATGAGCCATGCATGTTATCAAGGTTACAATTTTTTTAGTTAAATTGATTTCACTGATCTCACTCTCCACCTAACGTCGTATCAGAGCCGTATTGCCAAATCCCCACGGACTGAAATCTTAGGGATTAAAACGTTGATATCAATAGCGGTGTCAAATTCATATCCACGATTCAAGTTTACCTTCAGCTGTACCCCAAAATACACAGCGCTGCTCCCTCTTGAGCGCGGCCCGATGTATTTAAGGTCTGCCTCTGCCAGCTCATCCTGTTGGCCGATCTGGACCCAGAGCGGAGAATCAACGGGCAGAGACGCACAAGTCTGCAGCTTCCCAGGATCTCCTAGAAATTACAAATAAAAGGACAACCTTATTACAGATGGAGGAAATAACTGACATGCTAAATATAACATTACAAAGCTAATTGTTTAACATCATATACATCCAGTGGCTATCCTAGAGTTTATGTACATATTCCCTATCATGTTATTGTCATGTTGTTGCGCGTTGGCACTAGGGATGCCAGAAACTGACCATGATCGAATTCGAAAATCGGACAGCCCTGGCGAATATTAATCGATTATTCGCCCCCCCCCCAACCGCGGGAGAGAACTTTTTTTTTTTAACTTAATTTTCACTTGTCAGTTCGAAGTACTCTCGAAGTACTCTCTTCTTTGAACCTACCGCTTTGTTCATCTTTAGTTGTGTTGTTCTCACTGTTCTGTATATCGCCAATAAATCAATCGCACGTGTGACGGGGGGGGGATTCTGGCTTCCTCTAAGTTTACAGTAAAACAAACTGGTGGTGTGACCAATGGCCATTTACAATTATTAATACTATTGCTATTATTAGCATTAGTCTATATTTTGGTTGAAACCAAGCCAGGAAAAATAAATAAAAACATTTTAAAAAATAATTTTCGATTATGGAGACTGTAACGAATATTCGAAAAATCGAATAATCGCTGCCATCCCTAGTTCGCACCTTGAGTTCATATTGTAATTTTGTTGTACTTGTACAATGACAAATTAAATATCTTATCTTCTTAACATCATATACATCCAGGTGGCGATCCCAGAGTCCGGTG